CTAAAATTTGAAAACCCTGAAATTGGTGGAAGAGGAACACAGCATTTTGTAGAGCAGACAATTCTCTTTCGAATGGTATATAACGATGTAAAAGCATGGGGATTTAGATGAAAATTTTTGGTTGAAAAAAAGCGACACTATTTATGAGACAACCTAATAGTTTGGCGGCTCCAAGATTGCGGCCAAATGGTTCCATCGTCGAGAATAGATGTAATTGTCGTGTTTTGCGGCATTTTGGAGGCCCCAAGATAAATTGCAAAAATTTGTCATGACGGAGGATCGAACTTTGGACCATTTCTTCTCCCTGTTTTGAGACTCCTAGGGGCGTTCAGGAAAAATGGACCATGGTTCTGTGTTCCTCACATGAGAATCTACAAAAACTGGGGAACCATTTTGAAAAAACGCTCCATGTCCTGAAAGACCTTCCTTGTCAGCTATTCGAAGGAGGATGCGATGAAAAGACAGCCCATTGTAAATGGGAAATCTCCCCGGAAGAATCACGATTCTATCGAGCTGGCATCTAACCCACTGCTATTGAGAGGAACAAAAGAACGAAAAATTGCGTCAGTTTTACTAAACAATTTGGAAAACGGGAAGGTCTGTTACGCGTTCAACTTTCTGCCGAATGTCTGCCGCAATTATGCAAAAATAACATTCCACTTGAATTTCGGAGCGTCTCCACTAGGAACATTTTTGTTCTTTTGACTTACTGCACTATCTCACACTTTTGCTGCATCCTATTCTATGTCTTCATTCTCTGAGATCTTGACACTCCATTAGATAATTCCATGCATTGCCTTGGGCTCCGCGCGACCTACCTCGACCGCCCATAGAAAATAGTTTTCGTTTATTTCTCTACGAAGAAGCGAATCTTCTCGCGTGAAACTTTGTGTGTTGTCTCTGTCAGCTGATAAAGCCATGTCGGCAAACAATGCAAGAAGTCTCCGGGAGGTTACCGTTGACTTTAAGACAGCCGCAGGTCTGTACGCGGCGAGTGATTAGATAGCAGAGAGAGCTGAATGTTGAACGAACAACGATGAGAGTCGCATCAATGCGGAAATCAACGGGCAAGGAAGGGTCCCATTTCTCGGGTTCAACCGTTTCACATGGTTCTCTGTTCATCCCTGCTCCACTGACCACCTCTACCCTTGTTTCCAGTGAGCTGTCTTTTCATCGTAAATCGGACTTTAATAGCTTCTTTAGAGGCTCTTTCCTAATCAGCCTATGGAGAACCATGCGTTCTACCGTGGATTACTTAAATCAGCTTGCTCACCTTTTCGTGTCGTGAATGTCGTCCAAAATCGCTCATTCTTAATAGTTTGCGCAGCTCAATCATCAATCTGACGTTTAAAATAAGGCTAACTATAGCGTAGAGTAGACATGCTCCAACGTAAGTGCATCTGTTGATCTGAAAAGATAGATCCTCCATTCCAGCCAACTTTTCCACTCAACTTTCCACACGGAAAACGTTAGGGTAAAGACGTCTGCGCTTTTGCTACGATCCTTTTATGAACTGACCATATCGCTACGTCTGTCCAATCCCATCGACGTATAGGTTCCGTCCTCAATTTGGATGAATATAAATTCTGCTCCAAATAGTGGAGTTGAAGCAGAAAACGCAAAAGCGATATGTAATACAGTCACGATTCGCACGTTTCTCCGCGACCAAATCTAGATGGAATGAGCAGATATGAGAGAAGTGTTTTTTGATTGGGTGCATTATTGCCTTTTCAAATCGTTAATTATATTTATAAAAGTAACTTGGAAATGTGTGGACATTAGTTGAAGGCAATCACGAGTATGTACATGAACACGTTACTTCTTTTTAATCCTGCAAATCTATCATATATGGTATCTGACGCCACCCATTGCTTTGTAACACGAGTCATCGCAAATGTTCTTCGGCAACTCCCT